TGTCCTTGAAGACGTAACTAGCGGTGTTTAAGCGAATACTAACCATTTTGACAATTTTTGCTGTGTGTATTTGACCATTTAGGCACAAACTCAACGCCCAAAGTTCACTTTGCTTCTCCGTGTTCCACTCTGTCTTGGATCATGCGCAGTGCGCACAGAAAGCGCAGTTTCGCAGCTTAATAGTTTTTTGATAACTTTTTCTTATCAAGCACATTCTGCAGTTTAGCAGCTGTAGACTAGCCTGGTTAAAACCAGACCATTCTTCTCAGTTGCAACTGAGTTATGGTCTGGCAAAGCGTCATAGACAAATCATTTCCAGAGGGGCGTCACCAACGGATGTCGCGGATAGACCTAAACCCAATCAGAGCGATGAAGGAGATGACGTTTGCAGAGCGGCGGAGAAACATCTCCGAGTGTTGTTCTTTCCTCGGTTTTTAACAAAAAGGAAACGTTCAAATCGCTTAAAACAGACGCGATAGCTGATGCGAACGAGTGATGTTCGACGACAGCATCCATCTTTGTAATGTAGGCTACAAAATCTGCTTCAAAATCCCAGCGCTGCCGTCATCGTGTAAAGCCCGCCCCAACGTTTCTGATTGGTGCCGCGATTACGGCGGATTGGAAATGGGCTTGAATGAGCTCTTTGCCAGACTAACTTTCAGAGCAAATCTAAATTTTCCGGAAGTTGTCTGGGTTTTCCCAGGCTAGCTGTAGACTGTATTTTACGGCAATCGCTGATCTAGCTGGTTTGAATGTTAAGTTTGGGCTTTGAGAAAGCGCACCACTGTGAAATCGCACAGCTCTAGTTTCTTGCTGTCATTGCTATAGAGTTACTGTTGTTGCAATGTCTCCGCACAGAGGTTACAAATTTATTGTCCTTTTCAGACACCTGGTAGAACTGCCAGAACGCAATCAAGCTATTTAAAGCTATTTTTGGCCGATAAGGATCGGCGCCTGATCAATCAGAGCACCTTTAGTGTGGTTGCTGAGGTGTTCTGGGTGGTTGCTGTGTAAATTGTAAGTTCAGTCTCTTAGAAACATAATAACACATCTCTCTTCAACAAGCCGAGCAATTGTAGTACAAAAAAGTTGCGTGCCAAAGTTAATTAGCCTACTTAGTGTTCGGGTTTGTTCAAGTCTCTAACCCTCAGTATGAGCAGTAATAATAGTGATGCTTGACTTGGCAAACACTTAAAGGATTTTACAGTCTGATGCCATGGAGAACCTTCTTAACTTCCACAAAGAACCCTCTAGTGCTTTAGAAACCCATCCAAATACCAGTGCTTAAACAAAACCAGAAGCCAAAATGCTGATCTGAGGAACCTGCAATGAAACATCAAGATCTTTACAGATCTCCATATAACAACTCAACGATAAACGGCTATTTTTAGCACTCTGCACATTACAGTTCATGTGATGATTCATCAGGAAATTCGAAGAAACACTGTTGTAGGTCAGTTGGCATTTTCTGGGAAATTGTACTTGTGGTGCTTTTTTTTTATGCTCATTCTCAGCATGATTGTTATTCTACTTTTGAATTCTGTTAGAAACCCACTAATCAGCTGTGAACGTTTAGCAGGAATGAGTGTGTGAGACGTGTGTGTACAGGAGCAGGTGCACAAGAGATGCGTGTGTGGTTCTTATGCAGTCAGATATCAGTCACATGATCTCTTTCTCTCTCATCACTTATCTTTGTTTATGTACGTAGTGGTGTTTGCTAAGGCAAGCATAACTGCTATTATTGCTTATGCATGAGTTAATGATTGAAACTAGTGCTGCATGATTTGGGGGGGGGGGGGGTGAATTGTGTTATTAAAATGCAATTTAAAAAAATGCTTGTGATTTATATAGTAATAATTTTTCTATTGTACTATTTCACTGTAATATAACTAAATCAGTTAAAATATAATCGCTTTTTACTGTAAAATTGCAATACTAATTTGTAATATACTACTAATAGCCTATTTAAGGACTGCACTTCTCTCTGAAACATGCAGTGAATGATTTTATTGAATTAAATACCTAATTTTAATTTATTTAAATCGCAGCCTTCACGTTTTGGCAATCACACCAAGTTTGACAATCACCATATTCCAATTTCAGTTTTATTTAATTTGCCCTAATTTAAACAAACATTTGGCCTATAGCTCACCTAGCGCTGTTTATTATACAGACATAAATGTTTCTTCAACTCATGCTTTAGAGGTTGGGCGTTATGGTTAGGTTTACGTTTATGATTGCTCATGAGACTGTGTTTGAATATCATAGGAATTTTAGGGCCTTTTCTGACTTGGGCCAGTACGTACTACGTAGTAGCAGCATCATAACTGCATAACATCCGCCAATCATGCAGAAAACCTTAGCAACCACATAGAAGCACCCTGTCAACCACACTGTAACAATCACATGGCAATGTTCCATCAACCACTCAAAACACCTTAACACCTGCATAACACTTTCTTCAGAGAATCTAGTTTTAAATGTGTTTTCTTTCTGTGTTTCTGCTGAGTATGAGACTCTCTTTCTCTCTCTCTCTCTCTCTCACACACACACACACACACAGTAGTCTGGGTTCATTATGTGTGTATTGTGTTGTGAGGGTGGACAGGGGTCTGGAAGACATTATTAAGGACAACTGAATTAACAAGACCCCCCTCTCAGTACAACACCCCCAACAGAGAGAGAGGTTAATCCCCCCGGCGCACACACAGGCACACACACTTTCATATTCTCTGGAATAATCTCCCACACACACACACACACACTCTCTCTCGGCGGTTAACTGTGTGTGCGCACAACCACCGCCACCACACCCCGCTGCTGCTGCTGCTGCTAATGTGTTTGTGAACCACTGAAAGATCAGTCATACTGTGAAAACACACATACACATATAGCTTATATATATATATATACGCTTGCACGAGCTGGGTGTAATTGTGAGACTGTTTTTGTCTGTGGCATGCTCAACTCCCCCTCAAAACGTCTCACTTCCTGTGCTACTAACACACACCAGCCGCAATTTTGGAGACAAAAAAGCAGATAAGACCCTGAGGGCTCTAAGTGTGTGTGTGTGTGTGCGCGCGCAGCAGATGTCTGGGTCACTCAGGCCATAGTCCCTCATTAGCATCACAAAGGGGGCAACAGCAGAGCCTTTAGCCCCGACAGCCGCCAGAGGAGAGAGAGATTTTTTTTTTAATTATTATTCTAGATATTTTATTTTTTTAAAAATTAAAAAATGAATTTTTCAATCTAGAGGCTTTATTTTATTTTTATTTCTGTTTTATTATAAATGCTTTATTTTTTTCAGGTTTTTTTATTCTAGCTTACACACACACATACGTATGTGTGTGTGTGTGCGCCGTTTCATTCTAGAGGCTTTATATTTTTAGCTTGTTTGTGTGCTTTTTTGTTTTGTGTATTGGATGCTTTGGCAATAAAACACATTTTTTTTCATTCTAGATATTTTATTTTATGATTAATTTTATGATTTTAATTATTTTATTGTATCATAAATTTTTTATTTATTTAATTTTTTTCGGCTTTTAAAATTTATTTGTATTTCTGTTTTATTCTAGAAGCTTTAATATATATATATATATATTATGCACACACACACACACACGTCACAGTGCTAAGGTGCACACTCTATAAGACTTTAGGTCACCGCAGATCTTGTGGTGTGCACATTGAGACATGCTTCAACTAGTCGCCGGCGCTATGGCACATTTTCTTCAAGAGAGCAAAAGAATGCAAGAGGAGAGCGAAGCATTGTGAAGCATGAGCAAAACATCACATTTATCCTGATAGCACATTTTTCTTATTTACCCTGTTCTGTGTAATTTATTGCATAAACGTGTTGTGCGCACCAACACAACAGAAACCTGAGTCGTTAAGTATGTGCAGGGCGACGACCTTCTGTCCCGTAGCGTGTGTGTGAGGCTTAAGGTGTCCTGAATGGAGTTTAGTGTGTCAATAGTGTCATGCCAATAAAGCACATTTAAACTGAGAATGATGCTGGACCTCACAGTGAACGAGGAGGCGGCGGCGGAGGTTCAGGGGTCACAGGTGATGCTGCTGTTTCTCTTCCTCTAATTGATTTCTATTAGCAGCCATAGTCTAGTGACTAAAGGGATTTACTGAAACACACACATGTCTCTCCTCTCCCTGGAGACACTATCATCCACAGGAGGAGAGACATTGGACTGAATGTGAGTGAGGAGAATGGGAAAGGTGCTTCAGTTTACATTTTTAATGTGTTTTCATAAAACGGAGTGTGTGTGTGTGAGATGTTTTGTTCTGCCTGTATATTCCGCCTCTGGGGGCCAATTGTATAAACACACACACACACACACACACACACACACACACACACACACACTTGTCCATTAATTTCTCTGTGCATCTGTCTGCTTTCAAACGACTGTGTGACCATAAAGCACGCTGAGCACAGAAACATATCCAGTTTCTCTCTTTCTAAGGTGTGATGGTTTGTGTTGTTCTTGTCTGTCTGGTTTTAAAGGTCACAGGTCAGTGACCCCTAGTAAAGCAGGGCAGAGGTGAAAAGCCAATGGCCCTTCTATTCTGTTTGTGCGAAGCTTTAATTTCAGCCTGACCTGAGCAGCTCACCTCAGATACGAGATATAATCACTGCCTCAGTTGTGGCGTTTAGAAGAATTGTTTTAACCTGTTTGTAATGAAATGTTATTGAGAAGGGACACCACAAGCTAAATATAATCAGAAGAATTGTTATCATGGCTGGGGTTTGCTTTTTGTCTGTGGTGGTCATAACATTTTGTTATGCTTTTATGCACTTATGCACATGTTATTTATTTTAGCATCAGTTCAGTCTTAAAATTAGCTTGATAACTGGAAAAGAAGAGTTTTAACAATTGAATTATGGTACAATGTGTTAACCTACTTCTTCCTAGCTAATGCCTAGCTTGTTCATCATCAGTCACTGTCGAATCTAATCTCTCATCTATTGCCTTTTTGTTTTTCAGGCTTCGTCTCAATCAGCACAGCCGCTCAAATTCACCACATCAGACTCCTGTGATCGCATCAAAGACGAGTTTCAGTTCCTGCAGGCACAATATCACAGGTATACAAACACTCGTGCACCACCGTCACAAGGTTTGGGGTAGGGATGCACGATATTGGATTTTGGCCGATATTCGATATGCCTATATTTTCAAACTAATTTAGCCCGATACCGATATATATTTGTATTTTTATATACCGATAAATAAGTGCAAAAAAAGCTTATTAAAGCTTCTATTAAAGTTCTCAGTCAAGAGCAGTGAGTGATTTCCTATTTGTGTTTTGTTGTTTTATTAACATTAAAGGGATAGTTCTCCCAAAAATTTAAATTGTCATCATTTACTCTCTCAAGTTGTTTTAAACCCAAATAAATTTCTTTCTTCTGTTGAAAATAAAAGTTATTTGGAAGAATGTGGCTAACCAAACAGTTGCTGTACTCCAGTGACTTCCATAGTATATTTAAACACAAGAAAGAAATGAACACAGGTTTGGAACAACATTAGAGTGAGTAAATAATGATAGATTTTTTATTTCTAGGTGCAGTATCTCTTTAAGGACAAGCGGCAGCATATGATTACTGTCTCTTTAAGAACTGCACGCGACGCGTCTAATATACACGCATTTGACGAGTAGATTTTCTCTGTTTGCTTTCACTTTAGACATAACCAACTTTATGTAAACCTTGTGTGTATTTGACAGTATAAGCGCAATAAGACTCGAAAGATTAGTCCAGTATGCAGGCGCTGTGACAGGCTTGTAGTTCCTGTGAGCGTCGGGTGTAACGCGCTCAGAAAAGCGGATGTTAGAACAGCGCATCAGCACGTGAATGACATGTTTAACTAGCAAGACTTTGACGCACATGCAAATAATGAACTTTTGTGAATTGCTGTGTCCCATTAGTGTAACTCTTCCTCTGCGTTTACATGTGATGTGATGTGAATGTACGTCGCGTTGTACAGTATGTTGAGATGAAGGCGCCAGAATTGAACTGATAGAATGCACGATACTATGATTTTTCTTCAAAAGCAGATCGTGGAGACATTTTAATCGTCCACGATCAAAAACCGCGTGAGACGCACACCCCTAGTTGGAAGTTTAAGTTGCTGGCACTCATGCTTCGTTCACGGTCGTCACGTGCGCATAGGAAACACGCCACCCTATCGGCAAGGCTCATCGGCAGAAATATTCATATCGGCCGATGCCGATGATGGTCATTTTAAGCTTTTATAGGCCGATACCGATGTTGTCCCGATATCATCGTGCATCCCTAGTTTGGGGTCAGTAGGGTTTATTTTTCAATTAAATTAATACTTTTATTTAGCAAGGATGCATTCAATTGAACAATCACAAAAGTGGCAAAGACATTTATAATGCTGCTAAAGATTATATTTCAAATAAATGGTCTATTCCTCAAAGAATACTGAAACATATGTATCATATTTTCTACAAAAACATTATACATTAAGCAAACATTAAACTTTTTTCAGCATTGAAAATAATAAATGTTTCTTGAGCAGCAAATCAGCTTATTAGAATAATTTCTGAAGGATCATGTGACACTGAAGACTGGAGTAATGATGCTGAAAACTCACAGGAGTAAATCACATGTTAAGATATATTAAAAATATAAAACAAATTTTAAAATGCAATAATATTTCACAAAATTACTGTATTTTTAGATGCAATAAATGCAGCCTTGGTGATCTTTTGAATGGCGGTATAACCAGACACAGCTTTTTACAGGCACATACCAAAGATTTCAAATACACAAAACTAGTTTAACCGTTAGTTAAAGCACATTAAACACAACCCTGAGAAGCACGGGCAGGTTCTCTCCTCCTCACTTTCACTCTACACCCTAAAAACACCCTGCCCGAGTGAATTCCTCTCTGTGTCGGTCAAATGGTGTGACACGACCCCTCCTGGAAAAGCCTCCTGTCATCGTCTGTCAGCACCAGAGATACGAGCGATCACGGGGCGTCCGGCCATCACACATCAGACAAACCACGGACAGAGGAAGGAAGAGGGAAATGGAGAAGGATAAACAAACGAGTGTGCTGATGTCTTTCAGACAACACTGCGGCGCTTTAGATTTCCACACTGAATATTCTCTCTCGGTGTGAAAAAGCCATAACTCTGGTGTATGTTTTAAAAACAAATCACGGCCGCTTCACCTTACAGCGTCACGTCACTGAGTATTTACCCAAGTACACACTGAATGATGCTGGTTAATGTGAAATCATTCTGTGGAGCTGCTTGTGATTACATTCTTGTTGTTATTATTATTGCTTTTAGTGATTAAAGACCTCATAAAATGGTTTGACAAATGCAATTTTCTTTCCTGTGTTGATTTTAGGGCGTTGCGATGGGATATATATATAAAAAAAAAATGTAATTTGTTTCAACTAGTCAATAGTCTTTAGTTTACATCACAGTCATAAACCATGATTTACTACTTGCTTTTAGTCAGTGGCTAGTGATGTTGGGGGAAGGACATTCTCACTCTGGAGTGCATTTGTTAATTTTTATATCCAAAATTTGTACCACAAACAGTTTTCCCTGCAGAGAATGATTGTAAATTTTAAACGCATTTACATAAGGTTTATATTGTCAACGTTTAGGAGTGTATTAGCATATAGATGACGTCCAAAGCTAATAGATATCCACTTATGTCCGTCTTTAGGGTAGCTATACACTAGCATCAGTCAGTAAAATCAGAAATGTTTGTTTAGAAGCAAATTAGCATATTTGAATGATTTCTGAAGGATCATGTGACTCTAAAGACTGGAGTAATGATGCTGAAAATTCTCCTTTGATCACAGGAATAAATTACATGTTAAATATATTCCAAATTGTAATAATGTTTCACAATATTACCATTTTTGTTCAAATTAATGCAGCCTTGGTGAGCATAAGAAACTTCTTTCAAAAACTTTTAAAAAATCTTACTGACCCCAAACTTGTGAATGGTAGTGTATGTGTAGCACAGACAATTCAACGTAAAGCATTACCAAAGCCATTTTTAGAAAGGGTGAAGTATTATATGAAGGACAGAATCATACATTCTTTCATAATTGCGTTCTTCTAAATGCATGGCCAGCCAATCACAAGTCTCCATCAGACCATCCAGACAGGAAACTTGTTGTCATGGTGATAGAATGTTGCAGAATTCTCTCGGTTTTGAAAGAGAAAATGAGGTAAAGTGCTGCTGACAGCCTCAATGAGTGTGTGTGTGTGTGTGTGTGTGTGTGTGTGTGTTAGGGTGAAATGCAAATATTTAAGCTGTCATACACGCAGACTGTGTCATTCAGACCATGAGAACTTCATCTTTTCCATCACTTAAAGGGATAGTTCTCTTTTTAAAATGAATTTTTGGTATGTTTTAGCTTACCTCAAGGGCATCCAAGATGTAGGTGTCTTTGTTTCCGCAGAAGTTTCAATTTTGATATTTTTAGGTCAAACCGTTCTTGTATGTCAGTCATATACTGCAGGTCTATGGTCACCACCTCAAAGAGCATGCACAGAGAAGTCCAAATTAAACATGATTTAATGACTCGTAAATGTAAGTACACATTGATGGCCTAAGACACGAAACGAGCAGTTTGTGTGAGAAAATGACCAGTATTTATATCGTTTTTACCTCTTGTAAACACAGCCACGTCCAAGTGATCTGAGGGCGCGGGCGCTTCGGTCTTTTCCGGCAAGCGCCGGAAAGCGCCGCAAGTGATCTTGGACGTGGCTTCATGTTTAATTTGGACTTCTCTGTGCATGCTCTTTGAGGAAGTTACCATAGACCTGCATTATATGACTGACAGGTCAAGAACGGTTTGACCTAAAAATATCAAAATTGAAACTACTGCGGAAACAAAGACACCTACATCTTGGATGCCCTTGAGGTAAGCTAAAACATACCAAAAATTAATTCCAAAATGAACTATCCCTTTCAAGATGCATCATGTCAATTTCCCTCCTAAATCACATTTTACAAGAAATGAATAGTACATCTAATGCTGCCTTGTATTTTGCTCTCTTTCTGTCCTAGTCTGAAGATGGAATGTGATAAACTGGCGAGTGAGAAATCTGAAATGCAGCGTCATTACATAATGGTGAGTAAAGCATGAATGTTAAATGTTTTATCAGACCTACAGTTATACTCTGATTATGCTATTATCCAGCATACTGTTTCTTTCTATAGTCTCTTATTTAGTTCTTATATGCACATTTCTTACATTTCTTCCCTTTTTTTGGGCTTAATTGTTTGGCTTAGTTTTGCAATTTTTTCCATTCCCTTATTCATTTAATTTAGTGTTTTTCTTTTGTCTGTAACCCTGTGGGCGTCTGCAGTAATTCACACACAGTGGTCTCATTGATCAGTTGTATCATGGGTCGTAAGTGTGCACAAGCGTATTGACGTCTTCGTGACGGATCAATATGAATGTTTGTCAGTAACAGCTGTGTCTGAGAGCGGGACCACAGAGATCTGAGTGATCTGCTGCTTTAGCCCAGAGCTAAGCTTCTAGCACCGAGACTATCACAGTTTCAGGAGAAATACTAGATAAAGATCTTTAATGAATATAAAGATTTTGACTGTCAATGCTCCACTGTGTGTTTAGCTTTCTTCTCTCCACGCTCATTTGTAATGCCTCTTTGAGACACTGTAGAGGGTGAATTGTTTTTTTTTGTTTTTACATTTTAAGATGTCCCAATTTACCCTACAAAATGGGAATCACTAAATGTCCAGCTATTACATGTTAATATGTATCTGTAAATGTAAATACCTGCTCTGTTCCTCTTTCCCGTTTCTCTGACTGCAGTACTATGAGATGTCATATGGACTCAACATTGAAATGCACAAACAGGTGAGAATATGAATTTTATGTCCGAATCTGCACTTTTTGCTTTTTTTTTCTGCATTATCATAGTTGTCAAAATATTGAATAAATATTAGGGCTGGGTAAAAAATATCGATTTCTCGATATTAATCGATTCTCATTTTTACGAACCGATATCGATTCTTAAATCTCAAGAATCGATTAGTCATCCTGTTTTCATTTGATGAATGAATGGAACATTGTAGCGCGCATCCCATCCAATAAATCGCAATAATCTTCGTGCTTTGTTACTATTGATACTAAATAAAGTCTCAAATTACGTCCATTTTCTTACGAAATTCAAAAACATAAATACCGTTTTGGCGCTGTGGCGTTAGATCGCTCTGGCTGAACTCAAGAGAAGCAGCAGCGCGAGCGCACATGATCTCCTCTTCCGCCTTAATAATACCAGTTACAGCGCGAAATAAACATGAATGAACGTCTGAAAGTGTGTTAAAAGATAGAGTACAACTTATCGAAATCCGTATCATGTCACATGGAATCGCTCAATCAGTGTTTCAACCGTGGAAAGACGTCAGTAAAACAACTTGTAAACAATGTCATGTAACGTCACATTTACCTCAGAAAAACCATATGTGACCATAAACTCGTTAGTCAGCTAGAAAAATTAACTCTAAAGAGGAGCATTTTGCTAAATATATGCACCATATTACATATTCATTATAATTTGTAATGTTCTTTGATATTTAATGCATGTTTGAATAAATCTGGGGGGGGGGGATAAATCTTTTATTTATTTTTATAATAATAAAGTTATATTTAAGTGTTTGTATAGCTACAAATCAGTTAATTTTTACCTTCAATATTGTAGTAGGCTAATGAAGCCTAGTAGGTTACAACTGACTACCGTAGTTTACAGCATTAGTTAAGAGATTTGTTTTCCTTGAGAAAATTTGCCATGTATTGTACCTGATATCCAAAATAATCAATATTGAATCGAATCGAATTGCAAACTTGTGAATCGAAATCGAATCGAATTGTGAAATTTGTGTCAATACCCAGCCCTAATAAATATGACAGAAGAAATGTAGCTCTTTAGATTGAAGGTTGTGCAAAATCTGCATAGTTTCCTTTAAAGTGCAGAAGCCTACTTGCATGGGTTGTACATACGTATGCAGCGTCCTAGATTCAGTAGCGTTCTTCCATCAAACACGGTCAGCATACATTATCATGACTGACCGTGTTGTTCATGTGCTTTTGTGCAACATCAGCAAACTGTAAGCGCATCCCCAGCTACCTTATTAATGGATGTAAACCCATGAGATGTGCTTGTGTTCTGTCCGCAGGCGGAGATTGTGAAGAGATTGAACGGAATCTGTGCTCAGGTGTTGCCCTACCTGTCTCAAGAGGTCAGACTGTGTGATTTATTTATGACACTCTCTATAATGACTCTCAGCCTCATTAGTGACACAAATGTGCTGTTGGTTTGTGTCATGAGTTGCTTTTATACACTGAAGAGGGTTTGGTTGGTTTTTTTGTGCTGTATCTTACCTGAAGATATAAAATGTGTATATGTGTGTTTTTGTGTGTAGCACCAGCAGCAGGTCCTGGGGGCGATTGAGCGAGCCAAACAGGTCACTCCTCCTGAGATGAACTCAATTATTCGGGTACGTCATACTGTTCAACATGAGTGTTATTATGTAGGGCCGAGAGATTATTGCTAGAGAAAAAAAAAAGTATGTATGTGTGTATATATATATATATATATATATATATATATATATATATTAGGGCTGGCTGTCAGTTAAACGCGTTATTAACGGCGTTAACGCAAACCCATTTTAACGGTGTTAATTTTTTTATCGTGTGATTAACAGTCTCTTTGGCCTAGCAAACTTTGTAGTTTTTTTCACATGCTTTTGCAACAGGACGCGGCGCTGCACTATGAAACCCAATAATTTCAATGGCTTGCGCCACGCGAGGACGTTTTGAAAGCGCAAGCGGATCTAGCTAGACCGGAAACAAAACAACAGGCACGCCGCACACACTTGTTTGGGCTTGCGAGCCGGCCAAATAGTAGGTTAACGTTACGTTTTGAGTGGATGACGAGCGCGAGACGCCGAAATGGATGCCAATAAGATTCTGAATGGAAAGTTTACTTTTAAAAAGTTGCCAAATGGTTCCATTGACAAGACCAAAGTGATCTGTGTGTTTTGTCGTTGTGAACCGAGTTATCATCATCGCAGCGCGTCCAGTCTGAAATACCACTTGATGATGGCCAAGCACACACACACACACACACACACACACACAGCTGATGCGAATTCTCCGCCCCCTCGTCAATATCAGGACCTCGTCAGTTTTTCTTTCACCCTTTTATTGATGGACAGTGTTACATTGTGTGAGAGATTATTTGCTCCAAGTGAGAATGTTAGTGTGAAATTGAACACTGTATATGCCAATGTTGTTTTCAATAAAAAAACATTAGCACAAAGCAAGCCGATCCACTTTTCCATGTTGATAAGAGCATTAAAATGAGAAAAAAGAATGGGACAAAAAGAAATCAAGAGACATTTAGAATAGATAAAAATGTGTGATTAATCGCGAGTTAACCATGACATTAATGTGATTAATCGTGATTAAATATTTTAATCGTTTGACAGCACTAATATATATATATATACACACACACACACACACTTTAGAAAATCGGAGGATCAATCATTTTAGCCAATTAGATTCAAATTGTTTTATGCAAGAATTTTTTTTCGCACTGAATGAAGAATATTTAGTTTTTTGTTTTTATGCAAGTAATAGACCACAATATTATTATATTTATATTCCATGAACATTTTTTTTATTTTTATTTTCAAACTGTTGAATTTTCAACAAATTGTTGAATATTAGATTCTCGTTTGCACCGATTCATTGAAATGGACAGTTCGTATAAGCACCACATCATTAAAACAACTCTGTATTAGCGCTCTCATACTCAAAAAGGCAAAATAATAGCTAAAATTATGGCAAAATAGCAAAAGTGCATTACAATTATATTCTTATCAGTAAGTGTTGTACATGCAAAGTTATGTAAAGTAAAAGTGCAGTTATATGTAATGTGGCTTTGTCATTAAACTGTGTCTGTCATTGTTAAATGCACACGTCAACAGTAAGAAACTTATTGCTATCCATCTTTAACCTCCACGGATGTTTGTTTGTTTGTTGTTTGATGTGATCACAGCAGCAGCTTCAGGTTCACCAGCTCTCTCAGCTTCAGGGTTTGGCGTTACCCATGAACCATCTGCCCCTGGGCTTGACTCAGCCCTCCCTGCCCGCCGTCACCTCCAGCTCTGGCCTCCTGTCGCTGTCCAGCATCCTCGCGTCACACGCGCACATGGCCAAGGAGGACAAGAGCTCTCGCGACGGGGCCGACGGTCACCGCGAGGATGATGCAGACAAATCCGACTAGCCTTCGTAGAGATGGTTTGATTCTGTCTCATGAGTTCTGTAAAGAGGGGCGGAGCTCAGAAAGAGACGAGGAGAGATCGCCGAAACCTTCCTTTTCCTCTCTTCACACCTGTCTCATTGGATTGGGTCTGATTCAATCTCTATCTCTATCTCTCTCTCTCTCTCTCTCTCTCTCTCTCTCTCTCTCTCTCTCTCTCTTACTTCAGCGAATCTTTCCTCTGTAATATTGTTTGATTCTTTTGCTTTTCATTAGTGGTGCTTGCTAAGGTTCTATTACTATCATATTTGGGGTATCATATTAGTGATCTGAACAAACCCCTAACCCTAAGTATTAAACTTCAGCATGTAACATACCTCAAATCGTGTGTCTTGTTGAGGAGAGGTGTATTATTACTGTAAATTACTCTTAATTTTTCCTGGCAGATAGAGCTGCACGATTAATCGTTAATACATCGCAATCTCGATTCAAACACCCACACAATCTTATTCCTAAATGACAAAAATCACACCGGAACATTCAAATCTGCGTTGGTGTTGGGGCTGAGCCAGAGAGAGCAGTTGTCATGTATAGGAATTAAACCGCTTCACAAACAGTTTTTTCAGCCACACTGTATCACTATTTCTGTGTTACAAATATTCAAATTATCACAGAAGTACTGGGATAACAGTTTATAGTTCGGATATAAACACTGTTGTCTACGGTAGCAATCAAAATAGAGCAAATCCCATTTTGAAAGTAACGCTGCTTCAAATAACGATTGTAGCGATTATATTGTTAGGCCAGTAGGTGGCGACAAGTGACTGTAAAAAATGTATTTGTCATTGAATCATTAATACAAGAGATTCGTTTAAAAACGCTGATTCATCCAGTAATAAAACAAGTGAGTCATTGAATCATTTACTCAAACCTTTTTTTTTAAACGATTCATTCTAATTAATTAAACGTTTTTAAATAGACTGCAGAAATTAATATTTTGTGAGAACCTCTAGTAAATGCTGTTATTTTATTTAGTTGTCTGATCAGAATCGTGGGAGAATCATGATCTCTATTTGAAACAAAAAAATTGTGTTTCTTAATTTATCCAGAATCGTGCAGCTCTACTGGCAGATGATAAAATGGGTGAAAAATACTTCATAGATATTGACGGAAGAACCCAAACCATATCTAGAGACCTGAATATCATAGAGACTAGGTAGTGCACACTTATGAGTCACCCAAAACGCACAGGCAACGCTCTAGCAACCGCCAAGTAACACCCTAGCAACTGCATAACTGCCCTGGCAACCATCCCATACACATATTCCGCAAACAACCACGCAGGGCTGCGTTTACCAAAAGCATCGTGAGCCAACTATAGTCATAAGTTTTGTTGAACTCTTTTGGTAAGGACGGAACTTGCGACCATAGTTGCTTCTGGAAAACGCACCCCAGAACAACTTGGCAACCGCATAGCAACAGCTAAGCAACCAAATAAAACGTCATATCATTTACATAGCAATGCACTAACTACCATTCAGAAACCACACAGCAACCATCCATAACGCTCTGATAGTGGCACAGGAATAATTCAGAACACCCTAGTAACCAATCAGAATGCTCTAGAATTTGCATAGGAATGCACAAAAAAACATTCAAAACATTTTAGCAACACCCTGGTAACCACCCAGATCTCTAGTAGTGGAGAGCAACATGCGCAAAACATTCAGAACACCCTAGCAACCACCTGGTATCTGCATAACTGCCCTGGCAACCACCCTAAACAAATATTGCACAAACAACCACTTAACCACAAAGCAATGGCCTAGCAACCAATTAAATCTAGCATTTGCGAAGGCAATGTACAAGCAACCATTCAGAACCCTGTAGCAACCACATAACAACAACCTAGCAACCACTCAGAACACTCTGGCAGTGGCATAGCAACATGCTCAAAGCATTTAGAACACCCTAGCAACTGTACAACTGCCCCGGTAAACGCCCCAAACACATATGCTCAAACAGCTGCTCAGAACAACTTATCAATCACATAGCCTAGCAACTAATCAAAACGTGCCCTAGCAGTTGCATAGCAATTTATTAATTATTCAGAACAATGTACCAACCACAGAGCAGCACCCTGGCAACCACACAAAACACTCTAGTAGTGACATAGCAACATGCTAAAAATATTCAGAAAACCTTAGCAACCACCCAGAATGGCCTAGCAAGCACCTAGTAACACCCTAGCAACTGCACAACTGCCCTGGCAACCACCTCAAATACATTGCAATGTGCAAACAACAACTCAGAAAAACTTAGCAGTCGCATATCAACGGTCTAGCATTTGCGTAGCAATGCACTTACAAAAAAAACATTTAGAACACCCTAGAAACCATAGCAACGCCTTGGCAACCACCTGGAATGGCCTAGCATCTGATTCTGATGCTTTCACGTCACTGGTTAGTGAAGCACTTCAGCTGGCCAGTGGTCTGTTTATGACCTGACTAGTGGATCAGAAATGCTTGCAGTTAATTTCCTCTGTTATCTAATATTCAATGTATTTCATGATATTTTATTCTAGGCTTATCTCGTTAACGGTTTAAACCCTGTAGTGACCCTTTCACATTAATTGATTGAAGCATTTTATATAAAAAGACGGCACACTGTCGATGTTGCCTAGAAAACAAGGTAAAGCAAAGCCTTAAGAGCCCTCGAACTGATCAAGCCCACACTCTGTGTAAGAAAGTGACAGTCCTGAGAAAAGCAAAGAGAGATTCCCAATCTGGACCCACATCCTCATATTTTTTTCTGTGTAAAAGGAAAAGTTTGTTTTTCTGCCGCCTGGTTTGCAGTGAATGTGGTTCCATGTGTGACCAGAAGGTGGCAGCTAGTGAGTGCGTGTTAAATGATTTGTGAAAAGTGAAGCCAAAGCATTTCTATCGCCCCCTGGTGGCTGGCTGCAGTAAAGCTCATAAACCCCGCCCTCTCCATGTAATCGAATAGGACGCGAGGCAAACAAAAAATTCCAATTACACTTTAAATACTTTTATTGCAAAGATCGTTTCGGTCCTTTTAACTAGTTCTTATCACAGAGATGTATGTTCAAGGGTTAATTTTCCCAGTAAGTTTGTTTTTAGTTAGTTATTTGATGCTATAAAAACGGAGTGTGACGTCATGATTGACAGCTGTGCTTGAGATCGAGTGTGGGCGGGACCTTGATACTCCACTACTTCGCAGACTCGGGCTCTGAACGACGTAATCGGCAACTGGGATTTTTTGGCTTCATTTTTCTACTGTGGAAAGAAAGTGGAGACTCGCTGTCCATCTTTTTTACAGTCTTTGTTTGTGAAGCTGTAATAGGATGTTTGGAATGGCATACTACCTTTACTGTGTCTGCAGCTGTGCTTCTCAACTTCCAAGATAACCATAAAGTATTTAAATGGAGTCATTATTATTGATATTGATAAAAAAATACAGTAATGCAATACTTAATCCCCCCCCCCCCCCCCCCCCCCCCAGTAGTTGTTATTAATTGAATAACGTGTAGTTCCTTAAATTTCTGAAATCACAAAATGAATTGATTAACTTATCGATACTCCAAGTTTCTGTTGATAAAAAACCTAGCAGATTTGTCATAATTACAGCATAAATAGTTCAGCATGTGCCCTGCATAGTGTTCACGTTTTCTGTATACTTTAAATATCTAGATGACCAACTGCATTTTCCGAATTGTTCAGTATACAACAAACCACACAGACCTTTTCCAGTGTAAAAATATACCTGCGATTTGCAAATTTTTATTTTAAATGGACGCTGAATGAAGTCATCACACAGTATATACTGCACAGTATGCTAGTATTCCCTGCTATTTTGAAGACACATCTACCTAAGGTTGTACATATGCACAGGTGCATTGTGGGTATTTTCTAATTGTGTGTTCCTGGACATTTATTAGATTTTGTCCCATAATTCCTTTGTGTTTTTGAGTACACCAGCCCTTGATTCTACTTTTTTATTTTATTTTTTTATTTTATCTCTAAATTAAGTTTTCTGATTTTTATCCTTTCCGTTTGATCTAAAAAAAAACTGCTGGCCAATTTATGTACATGTATAAATATATCAATATACATATAATTTTGTACACATTTTTGTATGTATAAAGCTACATTTATGGTGTATGCGTCCCAGAGGACATTTAGCGCAGGTCTGAGATATACAGAAATCTATAATCATTTAATAGTCAAGTCAAACGATTACGCTCTGATTTGTTTAGATGCACGTAACACTGGCTGCTGGTCTTATAGTTGCTAAACGTTCTGCCTTGGTCTCAGTCTCATGAACATCAGCTGAAAGAGACTAGTTTGTGACTTAAAGCGGCATGTAAGCCCATCCCTGAAGCCCCGCCTCTCTCCAGACATAAGCCCCTCCCTCTTCTGACATAAGCCCCTCCCTCTTCTGACAGTACTCATCAAATATTTGCCACATTTTGGAGCTTTGTAGTAGTTTTTTAAAATGTGTGTGTGTGCGTGTTGTATATGACATGATGTACTTGATGGAAATGTATTTTGTTTGTGTTGATAATCTGCTATTATAACTTCATTTAAAGACAATTGGAAGAAAAAAAAAGGTTAAAACATTTACTATTCATGTATGAGAGATTGAGCAGTAAGGAAGTATTTATGGTGCCTTACAAATAAAAGATTCATTGGACCTTTATTTGTGCTTCTGTTTGTTTCATTTTGTTCGTTTTTAAAAAATCGTTGCGCTAGCTCTCAAATTTTATTTTGTTTTTAAAAATTAATATTTTTTTATCCAGCACGAATGCATTAAATTGGTCAAAAGTGACAGTAAAGGCATTAATGTTACAAAAAAAATCTGTTTCAAATAAATGCTTTTTTTTTTTAACTTTCTATTCATAAAATAATCCTTAAATGCAACATGGTTTCCACAAATATATGAAGCAGCTGAACTGTTTTAAACATTGATAATAATCATAAATCTTTCTTGAGCATCAAAACAGCATATTAGAGTGATTTCTGGAGGATCATGTGACACTGAAGACTGGAGTAATGATGGCGAAAATTCAGCTTTGATCACAGGAATAAATTACATTATAGAATATATTTATTCAGAAAACAGTTATTTTAAGTTGTTCTAATATTTCACAATATTACTGTTTTCATCATATTTTTGATTAAA